CACTTATAGTGCAAATTTTCAACAGAAAACTAGTAATTCAAATTTAACCAGTTTATTTTTGTTTCAGAGTATAAAATCCGTAAAACGATAACTGCAACCAGCACAAGATATACCCAAAAAAAAAACAATTTCCACAAAAACTAGAGGAAAAAATCAAGCTTCTAGAAGTTCCTCTCCCAGACCAAAAGCTTATACCATTTAAGACAATTAGTCACCTTCCAATAAGTGAAATTACTTAAGATACCCAAGGACTAAAATAAAAGAAGAAGTACTTAGGTTGACATAGCAGATTGGAACTACCTAACCTATATAACAATGTACAAACAATTTTTGTAAACAAATCAATTATCTACTTATTTATATCAGGAACTGAGAGTATGGAATGACTGAAGTTGTAAATAAAGTTTGTAAATATGGTTTGCTTTTTAATTTAAGTAAGTTACTTATTTATTTTAATTAGACTTTCTGATTTGAAAATATTGTTGCGGTGAAACCGTAACAACTTCTCTAACAATTTCTTGCTTTGACTATTGTTAGAAGGAACACTTGAAATTCTTACTAGAACCAAATCTCCTACCACGAATGTTTCTGCTGGTTTTCTTTTCTTATTAAATATGTTTCTCTGGATTTTTTCATTTGCTTCTAAATTTCTTTTTGCTTTTTCTCTTAACTTGGTCACATCTGGGTTGTCACTTTCTTCGTCTACGTATCGGTCAGCCTGACTTCTGAGATTTATACCCAACATTATCTCGGCGGGAGTAGTCTCTGTTGTTTTATGCTTCGTACTGTTAATCCCTTGTTGGATTGCTTCTAAATTTGAGTCCCAATTATCGCTGGAAGTGTCAGCTCCCATTGTGGCTAATGCATCTAATAGTAATCTGTTAACTCGTTCTACTTGTCCGTTACCTCTGGGCATACCAACTGCTGTTATGTGAAGCCGAATGCCTCTATTTTCACAAAATTTATTGAATTCATTTGATGTAAAAGCTGTTCCAGCGTCGGCTACTATTCTTTTCGGATTGCCAAAAATAGAAAATATTTCTGACAATTGTTTTATTACATTAACAGCTTTAGTATCCGGAACTGCTCTGGGAAACACAAATTTTGTAAATGCATCAACAACTACTAATAGGTGGCTATTTCTCTTACTGCTTTCCACGAAGGGTCCAAGGTGGTCAATATGTAAGGTATGAAACGGTTTGGCATACTTTGGAATAGGATGAAGATAACCTGGTTTCTTTCCTCCTGCCGATTTGTGATATAAACAGTTAAGACATGATTTGATATACTTTCGAACAAAATGTTTCATTTTAGGGAACCAATATCTTTGTTTAATCCGTTCTACTGTTTTTTCTAACGCAAAATGACCAACATCATCATGATTCAGCTTTACCACCTGCCATCTACATTTCTTTGGGACCATCCAACGTCGACCTCTTTCTGTTAATCTGAAAACTCTATTTCCACGTAAATCAAATTCTTTAAAGATTTTTTTGTTGTTTTGCATGTCACCAGATAATAATATTTCTTTTATTTCTTTAATATTATTATCCTGTTCTTGGGCTTCTTTCAACCAGTCTTCTTCATTTATTAGTTTTATACTTAGTTCACATTCCTCCTGTGTTATTTCTGGATTACGACTCAAGGCATCAACGTGCTGCATCATCTTTCCTTGTTTGTGTTGTATATTAAAATTATATTCTTGTAGTGACAGTAGCCATCTTGCGATTCTGGGAATAATTGTTTGCTTTGACATGGCATTTTTAACGGCATTGCAATCAGTGAAAATAGTAAACGGAATCCCCAAAAGATAGTGTCGAAATCGTTCTAAAGTTCTTACAATGGCAAGTAGTTCTAATTCAAATGAGTGAAACTTTCTTTCGTCAGGAGAAGTTTTCTTGCTGTAATAAGCTACTGGTTTTTCTTCTGCTCCATTGAGTTGAATAATTATGCCTCCAATTCCTTCTTGGCTAGCGTCTGTGTATACACGTGTTTCTAAATTTGGACTGAATATGGCTAGAATGGGAACTGAGCAAATCATTTCCTTCAGATGGTTTACCAGTTCTGTATGATTCTGAGTCCAATTCCATTTCGAATCCTTTTTCAATAAATCTGTTAATATACTAGTTTTAGAAGCGTAATTTTTAATAAATTTTCTGAAATAACCAGTAAGCCCTAGAAACTGTCTTACCTGGTGAATAGTCTTTGGCATAGGGAAATTTTTAACAGCAACTGTTTTTTCTTCACTAATAGAAACATTATTATTGCTAATTACATATCCTAGGTACGTTATTTTAGTTTGAAAAAATTGAGATTTTGATAATTTAACAGTTAGACCATGTTCTTCAATGATCTGGAAAACTTTTTGCAATTTTTCTATACCCTCACTTATTGTGTTAGATGGAATAATAATATCGTCCAGGTAAGGAGTGATACCGACATTTCGAAGAGGTTCAAAAATTTCAGACATCATTCTCTGAAACTCCGCAGGGGCATTACATAACCCAAAGGGTACTCTTAAGTATTCGTAATGTCCCTCTGGAGTTACAAATGCTGTTTTGTGTGTGTAATCGGAGTGCAATGGTATTTGATGGTAACCCGACGCTAAATCCATTGTCTAAAAATATGTATAGCCTCCAAGTGAATCAATAAGGTCTTCTATAACTGGTAGTGGAAATTTAATTTTTTCTGTTATTTTATTTAAAGCCCTATAATCAATAACTAGCCTTTTATCCCCTCCTTTTTTATTTACTAATAAAGCTGGACTAGCATATTCTGAGCTACTTTTTTTATTATATTGGCGGAAAGTAACTCACTAACTTGTTTTTTCATGATATCCTTATCTGACTGTGATAACCTATAAGGTCTAAATGTAACTGGTTTGGATGTAGTAGTCTCTATTTTCATTATTACCGAATGTGCTTTGCCCAATTTTTCCATAGAGGAATATAAACAACTGTGAAATGTTTCAATAATATTATATAATTTCATTTTATCTATTTTATTTAAGTCCCCGTGATTAACTTCAAGTTGAAAAAGTTGTAAATTATCTGAATATTTAAAAGTTAATTCATTACCAATACGATAATAAGAAATTTTTGGATTTTCCGTAAAATTACGTCCTACTAAAATTTCAGTATTTTTTAAAGTATTAACTGTAACATATAATAAAATATTTAATTTACACCCTTCCATAGTTACTTCAGTTTCGACATATTCATTCACTTCGGTTACGTCACCATTGAACCCCGTAAGACGCACTTTTTCCTGTATTTTTTAACTTGTATTTTAAGTCGAATTGCTAAATTTTTCTCAATCAATGAACAATCACTTCCTAAGTCTATAAACGCTTGCATAACTTGATTATTAATAAGAACCGGTTTGAAAAATTTTTTTGCCTCTTTGTTAGTTATCATGTTAACGTTTTCAGTTTTTGTTAAATTTATTTGCTTTTCATTATTTTTTTCTTTTTTTACAGCAGATTTACAAGCTCTGCCAATATGACCTTTTATTTTACAATTGTTACAAATTTTGTGTCGGTGAGGACAATTATCACTAATATGTTGTCCCGTTATACCACATCTATGACAAATAATAATTTTATGATTCACCGTTGAAAAATTCCTTTGTCTTTGGTAATTTACTTTTTTAAATTTGTCAAAAATATCCCTACGGCCAAAATCTTTACTGGTACTAGCAACAGGTTTACTATAATAATTGTTATTCGAAACTTCAGTATATTTTTGTGGTTTTTCTGAAATCTTACAATAAACTTTGTTTCGCAAATAAGACCCTAAGATGTTTAAATCATTGATATTTGCAGCTTCTGCTGCTGAAGTAATATTTTTATCATTTATAGCATCCAAAACTAATGAAATTTTATCTTCGATTGAAAAATTTAGTTTTAAATTATCAATTTTTGCTAAGTGTGTAAAGAAAAATTCATATAAAGAACATCCATCTGAAGGCTTATGATTTGCTAATTCAATTAAAAGTGTGTACATATCTCTTCTAGAATGAAATGTCTCCATCAATTTGTTTTTCCAATCGGACCAACTATAACTAGGCCATTGCTTGTCGTTGGCGATTAAATTTTCATACCAAATTTTTGCTGTACCCTGTAACTTATTCACAACTTGATGGATAGTCTGGTGTTCGGCCCAATTAAATAATTTTACATTATGCTCTATTATTTCAATCCAACAGCCGATATTATCTGATAACGGGTTAAATTCGGGTACTGCATTAGATATAACATGTTTTTCCGATAATAAGGATAATGAGACTTGACTTACCCCCGCCTTGTTTTTAGGTACTTTTAAATTCTTTTTTTGTTTACTTTTCTTGCGTCTCTTATTTAATCTAGAAGCACTTGAACTGGACGAAGAACTAGTAGAGCTCGAGGAACTAGAACTGCTCGAAGAAGAATACGTTCTTTTTCTACCCATTTCAGGGCGAGTCGAACCACTTCTGATGTTAGGAGAGGGTTGTAACACTAAACTCGACTATTTAACTTCACTATTTATTATATTCGACTAAACTGTATAATGATTCGCACAATAATGCCCTATATCTAAATAAAACGCTTATATAATTTCTGGTGATTTCGACTTATCGCCTAATGAGTCATAGTACTAGATATTCCAGCGGCGTCTCTTACGGGGTTGCTAACATACGTAACAGTAGAAGCAAACCAATATCGAACGAACGAATGTCCTTAAAAACTAAAAAAATGGAGTCTCGCGCGCACTCGATCAGAGTTTTTCGGGTTCTCGCTGCAGCACTCGTCCTGGTTCCGACGGTGGTATAAATCGCAAGTCGACATAGTCGCAGGTGGACAGGGTTGCCAGTTTTCCATATATTGACGACCTCCAACACTAATAATACCGATTTTGCTTGGAAGTCCTCATTTACAAAATGGATTATCACTGCCATGAAACTTTGAATATTCCTGGAGGTCCAACAATCCGTCGTTAGTGTAACACTCTGTTGAATATTCACTATTTTTCCTCATAAATTGCAGGTAACAAAGTATTTGATACATATTTTCGGCTTGGCAACTGATACGATGGGTTTAACATTTGCACAAAATTTCTGAATCCTTGATCTTCTACGATGGTGAAAGGTTGCATATCTTTTGTGAATATATCCATTAAACACTTGTCCAATTTGCTTTTTGTATGGATATTTATGGTTTTTGGCATAAATGGCAATTTTGCCTGAGATGGTTTTTGTTTAATAGTTCTTAAAGGTCTTGCTTCAGTATTTTGTGATGATGGAGATGTAGATGTACTTGGCCGCACTGCAGTATTGTTTTCTGTTGGAATCTGGCTGCTGCTGACGTCTTTCGTACCTTTGATTGTTGAATCTTCATAGTTTAATCTCACTAGTGGGTGTTTGCGTTCTAAATGCTTTTGTAAGTTTTTATGTAGATGTTTTGAAACTAACAATGATTACCCTTTGCTATTGTGTCATTTTCTTTTGAAAAAAAAATTCCACAGAAAAGAAGTCTTTTTTCTGTTCATTGCTGCTAAATTATTAGATTATTAGAAGGAATAAAAAACGGTTAATGATATCGGCCCAATTTCAGTGCGTGTCGTACTTGCCGAACTAAACTGAATACGCATTACTTTTTTAGTTTAGCACCGCTTAACGTGAAAGAATTCAAATAGTGCAAAAATAATAAAGTCGATAAATACAAGGATCATTAAACGTGAACTATAAATACTTAAAAGGGGGATTCCCAGAAATCACAGCGCAAGGCGATGCCACGTTTTTAATTTATAGAAAGAAAAATCCAATAATCTAAATAACTAGTAATTCATAAACTGATTAAATAAATACTATGAATGAATATTCTGATGAAGGTATGTATTTATTTATGTAAACTCCAATTTTTACTAGATAAATCTAATCTGTAATCTGTGTATTGCTATTAATTTTGGCAGCACCGCTGAAAACAGATAATAAAATGAAAGCCTAAATCATATTAAATATGAACAACCACAATTAGGTGGAGCTGCGATGCAAGGAATAGTAATATGTATTAACATTGTAGCAGCATCGCCAAAATTAAACTGCTCCAAAAAATGCTATTTGTCATTGCGACAAGACTGGAGCAGTCTCGTCTTGTCGCAGCAACACTTAAATCACAGTTAGGTCAACACTATTTCATGTTTCTAAATGTGGTATATCTTTAAAAGTTTTAGAACATATTGTTCCAATTTCGCGATAATTTATATAAATGTTTACTATTTCATGTTTCTAAATGTGGTATATCTTTAAAAGTTTTAGAACATATTATTGTTCCAATTTGGCCATAATTTATATAAATGTTTACTATTTCCAGACATTTCAATATGTAATTCTAAAAAGTAATAAAAATTTTATTTAAATATTCAAATAGAAAATACACGTGTTGAAATAAACTAAACAATTAGGTTATTACTCCAGTCAGTGGCTGATACGTTGATAATAATTAACCTGTCACATAAATTTTGGTTTAAATAGACTATCGATAGTTGACAAAAGAGACAAAAGTCTGTCCTGAAGAAATTTAATACATAAAGTAAAGTATTCTGCAGCGATTTGTATTATAAAGGTAAATATCTTCAATTATTTTAACATGTTTTAAAAGTATTTGGCTTTGTTTCAGAGAAATCATTTAATTTTGTTTGAATGCCAATTTTTCCATTATCGTCCCAAGTTTGATTACTAAATATTCACCATATTATAGTTTAATTTTCAATTATATAATTTGTTAATTAGCCCTAACTATATTTTCAATAGGAAGTTCTCTATCATAATAAGTCACAGATTGTGTATTATATTTCAGTTTTTATCAAAAAGTTCAATAATATCAGGCCCGTCTACAAATCGAACAAATTATATTGATATCTACCACTCACGTAGATGCTTTCATCGAGTTGCAGAGCGAATTTTTTAGACTCCCGTAACATTTTACAAACTCTATCCTCAATATTTATTGACATTACTTGAATTCATCTTTTCACAGGTTCATATGATAATGTAATTTTAGACACTTCTTCAGCAGCTTCTGGTCCGAACATGGTGTTTACTATTTCTTTGCATGCTAATAATAATAAAGTTTCACGAATGGTATGTCCTTCTTTATTTCTGACTATTAATTCGGATACTTTGAATGAAGCAATCAAGGCTCTGTCAGAAATTTTTACACGATTTAGCATTTTTCTAGATGCTTTTGTATGTTCTTGTAAAAGTCCCTTGAAGTAACCTGCAGGTTTTTGTACAACATGTTTGTGATGTTGTTGCAAATGCCTCTGAAATTTGTTGGGTACAATGGACTGATTTGATAAAGTCATTCCACATGTAACACATTTAGACTGAGGGCATCACCTATCCATGAAAATCAATATTTCAAATAGTCTGGAAATATGCCCTAAAACTTATTTATCCCGTGCCCTTTCGGGGGTTTAACAAAACACAAATGATAAATAAATATTCTTTAAAAACAAAAAACATTGCATACACACTCGCCGAGGCGTTCGCCAGAGGCCTCGTCCGAATGCCTAATATCCGTTTGACTCTTTCAGAAAAACCGTGCCTGGTGAGGTGAGGCAGTCCGAGTGAACCATGTACACACTCGCTCTCGGTCTGCCTCGCCGAGTGTGTACAGCCTGCATACAGTTATGAAAGATTACTTAGTTATAAAACATTTTAACAATTTTTTTTACAACTTTTCTATGAGTTTCTGCATCACTTCAGTATAAGCTTTTCGCGTCTCCTTAACTTCTTTTATTTTTTCACGATGGCGCCTTTCACGCTCTTCATCCTTTTTTTCTTCTCTTGTTTGCAGGAAATCCATTATTTTATTTTGCCCTTTTTCAGTCCGTGATTCCTTTTTTTTTTCGACTTTTGTTCTCTTTTCTGTTGGTTCCTCATCATTTTCTATAGGTGGCTGTGTATTTTTAATATTTTCTGAAAGAGAACAAATTCTATAAATCTGATATAAATTTAAATAGTTTATCTTACCTATCTCAATTGTATTGTTATTTTGAATACTGGATGCAATAAATTGAGGAACAATATTTGGTTATTTATCAAAAATTGTGTCCAGTTGCTGAAAAAATTCAAATTTAAATGGGCTCTCCCCACTACCTTTGTCTCCCATATTGTCTCTTTTTTGGTATATCTTGATTTTGGATATTTAAATTTGTTTTCACACTGAGTACTTGTATAGACATATCCCTCTTTTTTCATTCCCTCCGATACGATATTCCACACTTTCTGTCTTTTAACAGAAGAACTTTTAAATAATTTCTCATTAATTTTATAGAATTCTATTAAATGTAGTATTGCTTTTGTGTCCCAAGTTGTTAAGGATGAAGACTTCTCTTCAGCAATTTCGACATCATTGGTGGCGTCATCTCCTTCAAAATTAGTTTCTTTAATTCCGAAATGATTTTTTACTTCACTATTTGGCATTATTGTATTATCTAAAATAAAAATGAAAGTTAAAAACTATTGTAAGTTACCATCTATATTTGAAATATAGATTTTGCCATTGTCACTTACGATGGGTTTCCCATTTTCTTGAACACATAAAATACATTTGTCCAAATTAATCTCCATTTTGGTTTCAGCAAGTCTAGCAACAGAAAAATTGGTAATCTATGAACAACATACACAATTTTAGGCAAAAACAAACACAAAACCACTACAAAGTCTATAATCGTTGCTACAAACCAAAAACCAACTCATAAATGAAGGACAGTTTTGATTGATTTTGAACCAAACCAACTACTACAAAATACTTTTTTACAAAACGTAAATGCGGAGAGCGGGAGAATTTCAAGGTTGTTACTCTTGTCAGTCAGAGTGTAAAATGCGCATGTCGTGTGAATCTCAACCGGCTAAATACTCGGTTGGAAAAAGCGACGCTCGAGCGATCAGAGAACGTAGTTTTCGAACTGTATAGCGTAACGTTAGTAGATAATCTATGCCATTTTTACGCCACTGATAAGAGAGATAAGGAAGATAAGAAAGATAAGGATCCCACGTGCCAAGGTCAAGGTCACGGTCAAGGTCAAGGTCAAGGTCAAGGTCAAGGTCAAGGTCAAGGTCAAGGTCAATGTCAAGGTCAAGGTCACGGACGACCCACATGCCCGTATACACGCGGACAAGTTCAGCCACCGATCACGCACGACCCACATGCTCGTACACACGTGGACAAGTTCACGCACCAACCACGCACGACCCACACTCACAAGGGCTCGGTTCATGCACTTCCCACGCACCAAACACAAGGGTCCGTTTCACGCACATGACCCACCCACGCCTACAAGGTCTTTAAAATCAATATCAAAGATTTAGTTTTAGAATTTATTATTTAAAAATTCTAAATATGATGGGAAAGGTTCGAATCCCCCACCTAACATTTTTTATATGTTTAAAAATACTTTTCCCCCACATATATTTTTTGTATATAAATTGATTTAATATTCAACATATTCAACAATCATAAAAAATGTGTTATCCACCAATTGTCACAGATTTAAAAAGTGCAATAAAAAAGTTAGTGTATGAGTTTAATAGACAAGGATATAAATGGATAAGAGAATCAAAATATCAAAACTATTCTCAAACATTTTGTAAAAAACAATGCGAAGTTTATGAAAAGGTTCTACAATTAACCGTAAAGCTACAAAATAATGGATGCTTAGAATGTTGGTGTGGTAAGATGGCTGAATTTAGTTATTTACGGGAACTTGATGATATAATAGACTTTTTACCAACATATTTACGAGAGAAGCTAATGAACCTGCCTAACAATTCAACGGAAAATGATGAAACATATTCACAGAGTGAAAATGGTCAGGTTTGGAATGAAACTTTAAACCCAGTAGAAGTATTTGAGATGGAAGAATTTGAAGATGTTCCAGATATATTAGATTTGGAATACAACTATTAAATTTATTATAATATATTTAATCAAATAATAAACATTTATTAGATATTTATTAGTTTTATTTTTATGAAAGTGGAGGAGTTATTTAAATAAAATAAAGTATTACTTACAATTATGATTTTTTTATTCTTAAACATGTCTTTACAAGATTATAAACAAAAACTTGAAGAGTTAAGAAAAAATATGAAAAAATTTGATAAACGACAATTAATGAATAAAACTTTCAATTTTGTTACTATAACTAAGAAAAGGATTAGACCTACCAGAATAATGAAATAGTTGTTTATAAATTATGTTGTCAATAAATTATGTTACCAATAAATCATGTAAATAAAAAAAAAATGTTTTAATTTTGCATCATATATTTATTATATAAAAAATATACATTAGATAAAGCACAAATACATTTATTATTTTTATGATAAAAACATAAAGGTTCTCCAAGTTCAAAAGCAGGTTGTTCATCAATCTCATATACAGGAACAGTTGAAAATTTCCTAATATAGTTTGCTTTTTCCATTCCTTTAACGTAGATACAGTCAATATCTTTAATAAGTTTTTGAAATATACTTCCAAAATGATGCAGTGGAGTATATCCATTATTCCAATCAATAGCATGATGGTTATTCATTAACCAAGTAGCTTGCTTGTGTAAATCAGAAGGCAACATCCTCATAGGAAAGGGTGGCTTGAATACATAGTGACATACTTGTGAACCATTAAAAGCAGCAAATTCTTTAACTATAAACTTATTGTTTTCTATTTTAAAACCTTGAACATCTACTATCAACTTCATATTTTCAAATTATATAGTTGCTCTTCAACTTGTCTTCTTTTTCTATAATATTCGATATCCGCTTTTAGTTTTGATATATTTTGCAGATATTGTTGTAACCTCTGTTTATACTCATGTAGCATCATTAACTAATATTGAAATAAGAAAAAACTTGAATATAAATTAAAATTAAAAGAACTTGCGCAATTACTTCTGTCGTACTATTTTTGTTAGAGGATTATAAAAAAATTCTTTTTCATGTAAAATTAGACAGAAAGCTGACACATCATTTCCTGTAGGCTTACTAGTTTCAAATTCAATTCTAAGAGAAACGGAACCACTTTGAATTACTTCTTTTTGACGAGAACAGTCAATATGAACTATCGGACATTTTGTTTTAAATTCTTCGGGGTTGAATATAGGTTGGTTTGTTTGAATATGATAATAAGATTCTTGAAAGCTAGCAAACATTTCATACAAAGTTGCAAAACGGTTAGTATCAAAATCTAAATTTAAATCGTGATAGGGAAAACGATCGGAATTTAAGAAAACCCTAATATTTGATAGATTACAATGATCAAATTTACTCATATCTTTTAAAAGTTGACCTTTTCGATCTTTTTGAAATGCTATTATAATATGTCTAGGTGTTTCTAATTTTGTTGAAGTTTTTACTGCCCACGTATGACGTGTGGAATCATTTAAAGTAGGATACTCAATTAGATCCCAACTTCTAAACTTAATAGGTAATTCAATATTTTTACTAATTATATTATTCAAGCGTAGTTGTTCTTCGATATTAACTGTAATTTGGGGTACATTCCAAAACAATTTAGTTATCTGAATGTTTGGTTTTTCTGTTTCATCTTTTGCAAGAACTGCATCAATATCATCACTAGCTCTAATTAAAATTAAATCTTGTTTCATATTTAATATTATTTTTCTAAAATCTTCAAAAAATCCGGAAAACATTTTTAAAGGTATATTTACATTAAAATTTCCATTTTTATCTAATAAAATTTTTTGTTCGCCTTTTGGAAACCAACCAGCGTTTTGCAATAATTTACTTTCATTATCATTTATTGATAAGTAATTTTTCAAGCTAGAAACTAAACCAACTTGTCTTACAGAATCAATTGTTACACCATTTAATACATATCTAATTTCTTTAAACATATAAGCGATACTATTATTAATAAATTCAAATTTAGTAGGTACTTTTTTCTGATCTGTTAACATTTTACCTTCCATATAAATATAGCTATTACAAGGTAGAGTATAAGCATCAAGTTCTTCTATAGTTATTCTAATTTCATCATTATAATTTGGAATAGCTGATGTATTTGACTGATAAATATGAAATTGATAATCTTCAATTGTAGTATCACTAAAAGGTTCTCCTGTAACATTTAACATTTCCATTATACTAAAACTTTAAATCCTATAGATTTCAAAAAAAGTCGATTTTTAGATGTTATCAACGGAATGGTTGATTTATTACTAATTTTTTTTCTATAACAACGCCTTTTATACTGTGGTCTTTTATTTAGATATTCTACTTGATTAAATAATAAAACCATAATTATTCAACTTTTTTAAGATGTAACCGAACAGTTATCGTCTCTTTACGAAAATCTATCAATTCACCAGTTTGATCAATAATCTTAATAGTAATGCTGTTTATGGTTTTAACACTAACAGGATAATACAGTAATGTTACAGGTTGCTCCACTATTTTATATCCATTTGGAACTTGCGGGAAAAATTCGTGAATTATATGAACTGGATTACCATTTAAAAAGGATCCAACAGCAATATTACAATCAACACATATTGTATTAACTTTTAAAATATTTATTTTATTTGAAGTATGACTTATATCTGGTTCAAGTTTAGTTTTAGAGAATCCAAGTAGGTTACCAATCGAGTTATTAACACTAAAATTTATCCACTCACTACTTTTTATTGTAATTGTAGATGTTTTTACATCTGGTGTTATTCGAATTGTAGCACCGCTGTCAAATACTTGTTTTTCTATAATTTTAATTATATCATTTATTTCATAAGCACCTATGGGTATTTCAAATTTAAATTGATTATTTATACCCCACACTAAAACATTATTCTTAGCATGAACATTTGGAATGCTGTTAAAAGTATCAAAACTTATTAATCCAATTTCATATTCAATATTTTCATCAAGATATATGGGAGGATTAAAATTCGCAGTTAAAATTGTAGATTCACCGCTTAAAGTAAATGTAAATGACATGATGATTCGAAAAGAAATGTGTTTGTGTTGTTAATTGTATTGGTTATATAAAAATTTTAAGCAATACTGACCACACTGATTAGAGTTGAAAGATTGTATAGGATCATAATTATATTTAATTTTAACTAAACCATTACTTTTAAAATATCTGATTAGTTCAAGTGGAGGGGGTAAATTTCCATAACTATCAAAGTAAATAATATTTTTATTATTTTTGCTATATGCTGTCCAATGAGTACCAGTACCACTTTCAATATCAAGATTAATTATACCTGATTCTTTTGATTTAATTTTATTTGGTAAAGAATCTCTCATATACACACCAGGAAAGTAAGGAATCCTAAGAACATTTACATATTTTTTTAGATCAATATTAGTTAACGAGTGCTTAGGTAATTTAATAGAGATTTTTTTTATATTTTTTTTTGTTGGGTTCCAGATCCTTTGTACGGTTTTAGGTAAAACCCCTTTCCCCGTTTTGTTGTTTTTATAGTTTTTTTTATTCCATATCCTTTGTAAGGTCTCAAATAAAAACCCTTCCCCATTTTTGTAGCTTGCTCCACAGCCAAATTATGTCTTTGCTGTTCA